TCTGAAGACAAGTAGCTTATGGTGTAAATATAAATGAGTTTTGCAGCCCAGAAACCCATCTGAAATGCGTGCTCTACGTTGGAGAAAAACCCATGCTTTTCTGTCTTTCAATAATGCTAAAAATGGATTAACATTGCATATATATTTTCATCATATGTTCCAAATGAAAACTTGTCAGAACTTAGGATGTTTTTCAATTCATTTATTGGATTTTCTTTAAAAGCCACCCATGAAAACATAAACCAATATAAAGAGCTTTTTACAATGTTAAAGTTGCTGACTCACATCTGCAAGAAAAAACATCTTCCTACCTTTATCTAGAAAGGCTTTTTTGTGTGAAAGTACAGCCTTATGCTGCTGAGAAGCACCTTTAACTCTTACTTGGTAGCTTTTGCAAATTTAAACAGCTGCAACCTCCGTGTACCAATCTGCCTGTCATTGCCACAGAGGTTAGCAGTCAGCAATCCTCGGCTGGAGTGAGAGGAGAAACTCCACACCTACACCAGCACCACCCTCCTCAGCAAGCAAATCCTGCAAACACCTCATCTGGAGCAATTGTAGCAATTGAACCAAGTTAATGCAGGGTTGGGTCCTTCAGCTGTGTCCACTCCACAGCTGGGGATGCCGAGGGAGGGACAAAGGGAGACAGCTGCGGGGATTCACATCTGAATAGGATAATGCCTTCGGAATTTCTCTCTTCTCATTGTGGCTGTCAAGCCAGTCCTCTCCCTGAGGTTTGATTAATACAGGCAGTCAGTGAGTGCATGTGGTGGGGCAAGGGCTCCATAGGTAGAGCAGTGGAAGAGTGCTCTGCAGAAGAGCAGGGTGAAGTGCCCCTGGTAATAAAGAGGATGTTGTGCTGCACTTGAAATGATGATTTTTTTCCCTTGGAGCACTGTGATTGTCTGGAAATCTCATGTGTACTGCTGAGCTCTGAGACCTGGAGCACAGCCCCAGTAGGCTGTGCTGGGAACAGGGGGCTGGTGCCCCATCCAGGGCTTGTGAGCCTGTGTGAGGAGCATTCAGAGGTGATGAGTGCTCTTAATACTTGTAGGGGAGAGGGAGCAGCAGAGGGGAAGAACTCCAGCTGCTGGAAATCCAGGAGAGAGTGGTTGTTTATAGTGGTCCTGCTCTGGGCAGAAGGTGGACTGTGAAGCTGGTCAGCAGCCAGCAGGGATTCTGTGCCCTGCAGTGATGGTAGGGACTGTGGAAAACCAGGGCCAGGGATTATTTGGAGTTGGAATTTGTCAGAGTGCTGGCCCTAGTGCTTTGCAAATCCAGAATTGCAGCAGGTGGTGTCCAGACAGGAGCTTCATCTATCTTCTCACAGACCCATGCAAAAATAATGAAGCATCCTATTGCATTTTATGGTGCACAATTTCTCATGGTCTTTCACCTGACAATTTCTCCTGTTTATATACAGGTAGACTGCTACCATAACAACAATAACAATAACAGTACTACTACTACTGCAAATAATAATGGAAAAGCCTGAGTTATTGCATATGCATGACAGGAGTTTTAATATCTCTGTGTGCCGGCAAGCAAGGGAGGGGGGGCTGTGGGCAGCCCAGGAAGGCTGTGTGTGGCTCTGGAGGGAGTGCAGGCTTTAGGGAACCCCTCATTTGGTTACATTTAGGTTCCCCCCCACAATAACATCTGCTTTTCTGATGAGTCATTCTGTAATTGAGTGCTCCAGAGACATCAGCCCCACAAAACCGAGATAAGTTTGAGGTCTGATGGGGTAGGGAGGGGTTGCCCACTCTGGAGGGCGGGTGCTGGCAGGGAGCTGCTGAGTGTGAAGGCAGTGGGGAGAAGGATCTTTGACAGCCAGGACAGTGAGGAATTGTCCCTTGTGAGGCAGGGCCAGCAGGGTGTTGCTACCTGCAGATGTCTTCAAGGCATAGGAGTTTATGGGACCTTGAGCTGTCCAAAAATAGATGTGAGGAGTGCTGGGTGGCAGGAGGGAACAGGGAGGGATGCTGCCTGGGAGGAGGAACCAGAGTTGTGAGGGTTGGTGGGGCACCAACATAATAATAAAGGTACATGATTGCCTTTTCTGATGACATAGGAGAAGGCATGTCCCAAGAGGAGCCAGCTACCCCCTTGCCAAGGGCAGGGGGACAGGGCCCAAAAGGTCCAACCCTTTGGGGATCTGCTCTGTGTTGGCCTCCCCCAGCCCTCCCCCACCTCCCAGCTCTTGTGTGTGGGATGGGAGTTGCTCTGTGCAGAGACCTCTCCCTGCATCCTGATCTGGCATATTTTTCCATTTAGATGTGAGCTCAGGAAAATACAAGTCTGTGCCAAAAAACATCTTTTTTTTTTTTCTTTGTTTTTTTTTTTTTAAACTGAAGTCTGTACTTAACTTTAAACTGCATGGAATTAGAGGATGGAAGCGTGCATTTGAAGTTAAGCACAGGTACAGAGAAAAGCTGGAGGAGGAGGTCAGAGCACTCACTCACCTGCAGCCCAGGTAAGGTGCTTGTGCTCCTGATTTCCCATATCCTTCAGGCAGAATCAAGCCCAGCACCATGGTTAGATTAGTTTAATTAAGGCATGTGCTTCCAAATCTTGTAACTAGGTGACTTATCTGCTGTGTGTCTGCTCTTGAACACAAAATTACTGAATTCTCCTGGTTTGTACCTGCCTTTGTGCCAGAGATAAATCAGTGTATATGCCAGTAATGTGATGCATTTGGCTAACCCGTTTTCACACAGTGCTGCTCGAAAAGTGAAATATTTCTTGCTGATGTCACATTGTCTTGTGGATTATCACACCCTTATAACTCTGTGTTCCTCTTTCCTCTTTGGCACACAAACAGTATTTAAAAGAAAAAACCCAGCCCTTCACATGGTGCACAGATTCTCAAAGGGTATTTTTAACCTATTGCACACAGCCATATTTGGTTCTCTTCTCAAAATACAAATTTCCTGACATGCTGAGATAGGCAGTGATGATTTTTTTTTTCCCTTTTCCTTGGAAAAAGGAATGTAATATGTTGTGAGCAACCTCCATATCCTCATCTAGGAACTGAAATTGGACTTTATAGAAAATTTTCCCGCTTCTGCAGAACACTGATTCTCTTCCCTCTTGGGATTTATTGCACCAAATATCCATGTTCATTTCTATTTCTCTGTTGAAATTTGCAAGACTGGGAAAGGAAAAAAAAAAAAAAGCAGCAGTTTTATAGTGCAGTTATCTGAGTTCCTGTAAATATTTTCATTTTCTCTGCTCCTTAATGTGGTGGGGCAGATTTTGTGCTGGGTGAGTTTCTATCCTGCACTAGAGGAGGAAAGTGTGAACCTCTGAGCCCCCTGTTTAGCCACAGCTCTCTGCTTTTCTGTTCATCTGTTTGCCCAGCAGATGTTACAGGAAGGCCCTGTACAAGCCTGTCTTCATTTCTCTGATCCAAACTGTGTTCACTCATGCAAAACATAACCTCGAACTGAGTTTTCCTTTAATTGTATTCCCTAGAACCAAGTTATCTCTGTAACTACATGAAGTTTTGCAGTGTGGTTTGCAGCTCCTTTTCTTCTCTCTGCTCAGCAAGCGGTGAAAAAACTCCCACTGATAACTTGTTCCCAGGTATTTCATGCCTCAAAAGAAGGGTCCCTTCTGCTCTGAAGATGGCTCAGGAAGCAGTCACCTTCCAGGAACAAATACACCCCTGCTTCCTCCCTTTCCCTGCTCTGGCTCCCACCACCCTCATGACAAATGAGCTGGCTTAGGAAATTCTTTCTCGTGAGTTGTGGGAGATGATCTTGTGTCCTTATCTCCCTCCTTCTGTGGCCCTGGCAGGTCAGGGGGGAGCAAAAGCCTTGGAAACAAATGCAGCCTGGTCTTGAGGTGACGGTGATGTGTTGGAGTAGAAAAAACGATGGAAGTGGCAACTCGGCCAAAGATGTCATATTTCAAAAAGAGGTTTCTCATTTACGTGCCTGTGAGATTTGGGAACCCAGTGTCCTAGGGAGAGTTAGTGGCCTCAGGGCTTCTCTGTCCTTCGGCACTTCTGAAGTATCTCATCCCCCCTCAAGAATATTAATGTCAGAGCTATGTAAAGCCAAGTCCTCAAAAAGGGAAATAAATGCATAAAGAGCTATAAATAGGAAAAGGATATTCCAGAGTCAACATCTTCTTAAATAATTTTTCTCAGGGTAGATCCTTTTGAGGTAAAGTTGTGCATTTAAAATGTAAAATATTTGCCTACTCTGCACCTAATGCAGACTTCTTTTTCCCTTCCTCCATGAAAAGGGATCACAGAAGGAAAGGCAAGCAAGAGACTTGCAGTGACCTTCAGTGTGTTCAGCTGCAGTTATTTTCTTAGTTTTCCTCCGAAACAGGACTTGAAGCTATGGTTTTTTACTCACGGTTTGGCATTTTTCTCTTGGTTCCCAAATAATTCTTAGCATAGATGGAGTGAACTGTGTGCTGCATGCTTCATCTACAGCTTGAGCAGCTCTTGCTGGGACATGGGGCTGTCCAGGAGTGAAGGACCAATTCTCTGATAGTGCCCAGACTTTATGGGGGTGTGGCCCAGAATCCCAGCATTCACTTTTGGGGCCAGTTTTGTATGTTTTTGCACAGTTGGCAGAACAGCTGGCACGTGAAGGTGTAGCAGTTTGATACCGTGAAAGTGAGACCAAGCAGTCTGGTTTCTGATTTCTGGCCTGGCTCACAGCTGACCTTCACACTGGCTGCAAAGTCCCCACTTTCAGCACTGAGCACAAGGTGCCCATTGCATCGGCAGGAGATGCTGGAGACTTCCTGGGGCGTTCCCTCTCCGTCCTCTCCATCTCAGTGTTGGGGCATCCCCTCTCTCTGCCCAGGTCTGTTCTCGCATCCCTGTTGTGAAGAGATGAGGGACCAAACCCAGGCCAGCGTGTCAGCCAGAGCAGGACATGGTCCTGTGCCAGACTCCTGTCCTCCTTTTGGGATTACACTCTGAGGGATGGGAGGAGGGCTTGCCAGTTGGGTGCACTGACCTCACAGAGCCCCATGGATGAGCATGGCTCATAAATCTCACCCTCCAAATAGTCCTGCCCTGGAGACAGGATGAGACATCTTGATTTAGACCTATTTGAAAATTGCTGAGCTGGTGTGCTCTCCCGTTCTTTCGTTATCCTTGCTCCCTCCTCTCTGTATATATTTATATTCTCACACATGTATGCACACGCACACACCCGCACCCCCCTGCTCTCTGCCTCTCTCTACCTGTTACCGTGATGCTGGTGTGCCTTGGCACTGATGTTTGTGTGCTCCCCAGGCCGTTCATCGTGCTGCCTCCGCTGATGGAGTGGATTCGGGTGGCGGTGGCTCACGCGGGGCACCGGCGCAGTTTCTCGGTGGACAGCGATGACGTACGGCAGGCGGCCAGGCTTCTGCTGCCGGGAGTTGACTGCGAGCCTCGACAGTTAAAGTAAGTCCAGGGAATGCTGATCCACGGGCTGCAGATGGGCTGCTTTGTGTCTCCCTTTGCTGGGGAGCAGCGGGCGGGTGGGCACGGGGCTCTGTTGTTGCCTGGGGAGGCGCAGGGATGCTCCGGCTCTCGCTGTGTGCGTTGCAAAATCAGCTCCCGGTATTTGCTGGCATCCGTGGATAAGCTGGTTGCATGGTAATGGGTGCCTGACTATCTCCCAGCTGTATTGAGCCCCTAATCTGCTCATCAGAGTTTACCACGGTGGTGTTCTGGTTTTTTATTCCCCCTTCCTATTAGGGTCTGCTTGCTAATGCGGGGCTGAAGCCTTCTTCTAATTGTCTGATTCACTTTGCTTTGCTATGAAATACTGAGATGTAATTGGCACGGCTGCAGATATTTTTCAGGGCTTTGTTTTCAGCATTAATGCTTAAAGGGCACATTTAAACTTAGAGGTAAGAGTACTTCTTACAGTAAAATTGTATTTTTCATGCTAATGTCAGTTCAAATTACTTGTAAATGTCAGCCTAGATAATTTGACTTTTTCCTGTATCAGATGTGACCTTTTGGTTTTCTAATGAAGTCTTAAAGTATTTATTGCCAGGATATGTTTTTAGTGTCTGTTTTGCCTTATTATTATGTACTTGGATAAAAGTACGTTCTAGGACTGGTCTGGAGTCAAGAATATGTTGGGGTTTGATGTTCGTATGAAAAGGCATTCTGAATTTGCCAAAGCAGAAATGATTCACTGCTATTACTTCACAAATTTGTACCAAAACCCCTTCAGTTCTCAGCAATCTGCCTCTTGATACAGCAGTAGATGCATTCTTTCCTGCAACACAGAAAGAAGAGGGCTGATTTACATGATTATTTGTGACAGCCTGCATGAGAGCAGCTGCCTTCTGTTGTCTCTGGCCTTGACATGCTCTTTCACCAGAGAGTATAATACTTTACTTCCAGATCCACATAGGCTTTTTATAGTCACAGCTATTCAATATTTAATTGATGAAATATATGGAATTTCAAAAGCCAGATCATGAGCATTTCACATTTCAAATCTTGGCTGTAATTGCTTCCCTTTTGGGTGCCCACCATGGCCCTCATTTCCAGAAGTGCTGGATTCTGTGTCCCTGCTGAAATGTCAGGACTTGTAGGTACTACACACAGTCTGAAGGCCTGGCACTTAGTTCTGAAAAGGCACAATTAATTTAATAGCTCTCCAAGTATTTAGGTAGGATTGCAAATGAGGCAGTAATGTTTCTATTGTATGTGCTCTGTCCTAAAAATTAAGGTAGATACAGTAAAATACCTGTATTTTAGTAAAAAATAATTAAAAAGCGCCACAATATGTGACCTAAAGTTTTATTTTGACTCTGTGTGTGTGTGTGTATACACATACAAATAAAAAATCTCATCAACTATTATACAATTTTAGTTTTTATTAGGAAGTTTCAAAATTATTTGAACTTGTGGAGAGTTGTATTATACTGCAGAAGAATGTATTAATTATGGGAGTGAACTAGCACTTAGTTTAAAGTTGCCAGCAAGAATTCATTTCATAAAGAATATAAATGATTGTTGTTGTCCTGCTTGTCTTAAAAGTGGGAACAAGCCTCAAGAGCACAGCCTGAGATTAATCAGATGAGAATGAAAAGGGAAAACTATTCCTGAGACAAATTCTAGATTCAGAATACAGCCTTTGCAGTGTGCCTGTATTTGACTGCAGGGGCTAGATTCATCTATTGATGTCCCAAAATGATAATCTCTCTGCTGTGCTGGCAGATGAGTGTTCATGTACCTTGGGTTTTATTTTGAGGTCTGTGCCTATGCTGGTGTAGTGCAGCAGGTTCTTTGAGTAGCTGCAAATAAGACCCTGGCTGCCTGTAATCCTGAGATCAAAGGGAAGACTGAGCTTTTCTGAAGAATAATGTGAGTCATCAGGATGTTAATTTGGAACTTTGCAGCCTGTAATTTTTTATTTGTATTCAGCAGACCCTCAGTACTTCTGATTTTCATAAGCCAAACACCAACCCTTCACTCCTCCCCATTAGGGAGGATGCCTTTCCAACTCTTGACTCCTCAAGGAGCATCAATTCCATAAATTCTAACACTGGGGGAGGGAATACAACAACTTTGCAGGGGATGGCTTTTCAAGTAATCTGCATGACAGATGGAAGCTGGAGGATTTTAAATGCAGTTAGCTTGATAAATTTTGTGACTTCTATGGGAAAGGTTTATTAAGTAGAACCTTGAAAATGGTTCAATTTCTAGGCTTTTTGTAGCAGTCTTCTTTAGTCCCTAAAACACAGAGACCTGAACCCAAAAGTTCCCATGGGCCCAGGTGATACTGCATCATTCAATGGTGTTGGTTCACAACCTGTCATGGCAAATGCATAAAGCAAAATCAGCTTCCACACTGGAAAAATATGCATATGGGGAGAGACAGAGTTGGCAGAATCTCAAAGGCTATGAAGTTCAGGATCAGTTTGGATAAAACCCAGATGTTCAGCTTCTTATCTGAACTACAGCATAGAGGTCTCCCCGCAAATCCATGTGACACTTGCCAGCACAATCACATTCTCCAGCAGCAAGGTTCCTATTCTGTGGCTTTGTAAATCATCCCTGCTTCTTCCTGCCTTTCATTCCTCTCTTTTGCCCTTTTTCTGAGCCTTTTAAAAAAACCCGTCACCTTAATTTCTTGCGATGATTTCCTCTCCTGAAAGAGGAGCTGCTCCGCCTCTTGAGTAGAGGAGTGAGGAAAGCTGGAATCAGTCAGGATCTGCCTGTCTCCTTCCTGTTCTCTTTTCATTTTACAGCAGCAGATGTGCCAGCAGGTTTCTTCCCTCTTGCCAGCTCTGGGAGATGAGCAGGGATGGTAGGGGTTCACCTTCCTCCAGACCACCTTTTGCAAAGAGATAGATTTCACAGATGGGTTGAGTGCAGGATGCACAACAGCTCACTGAGATGGAAACCCCAAGTTGTGTCCAGGATATTTTCATAGTGGGACAGCACACTTAAATAAAGCCTCACCTATACCCAGGCCCTTTGGGCCACATGAAGCAGCTGGATATAGTCAATTGAGGTGGCATCAGTGCTAACAGAGGCCATCACCCAGGATCTTAAGTGAATGCTTTCCCTGTTTTTGGGGGGAAGAAAATCCTATTGGAAAAACAAAGAATAGCAACAAGGTTATGAAAATTGGAAAACAATAATAAAAGAAAAAATTATGCATCTTAATGCACTCAAATCAGGATGACCAGATAAACTCTATGCCAATGATGAGAAAAAGCTGCCTCACAAAATCAGAGGGTCAGAGGGAAGTATTTTTAACAAAGCCTGGAGTGAGGCCATAACTCTAAGGATTAATAATAGTAATGCCCAGCATTTGAAAAGGATGAGAAATGATCCAAGGAAAATTCCAGGCTGCTAGTGCAATGCTTCTGAATGTTTTTTCAAGCAAAGACTGATTAAAGACATGTTGTTGAGGGAAAAATGGGATAAAATGTGACACAGATTTTCTAAAGATAGATCTTGCCAGGCTAATCTAATAACTTTTTTGATAAGATAACTGATTTTCTACCCCAAGGAAATTCAGTAGAATTTCATCTCTTTGGACTTGAGTGAAGATTTGATACAGTCCATGCAGGGATCTATTAAGACAAGAAGATGGGGGTTAGTAAGGAAATTGGAAAGTGAACAGGGGCTGGCTTTGAGACAGGTGGCAATGGCTGGGTTGGCTGAGATGGGGTTGCAAGCAGGGACCTTCAGCTCTCATCCTTAAAAACTGGTATTTTTTAATTTTCAGAAAGGGTTTTGGCACAAATCTTAGCAGTGTGCTCGTGAAGTTAAAATTTGCTGATGCCATGATGCTGAGAGGCATTGTCCTGACAGAGGAAGTTTGGGATATCATCCAGGAAAAAGTGGATGACCTTGAGGGCTGGGACAAAATAAATGGGATTAAATGCAGTTTTCCACAAATGGAAGTGCAGTTCTCCACAAATGGAAGGCACGTGTGTTTTTTTAATAAAAATATACAAACAGCAGTTTATATGTAACATGCACACTATATATGCACCCTAATATATACTGTGTTGAGAGCAGAATGTTGGAAAGGTGGTGGTAAAGGCTGTGGGACAGTATTCAATCTCAGAATGATTGTAAACCACGAAAGTGGATTTTTCCTCAACCATGAAAAAAGCAAATGCATTTTGAGGCTGTGTTGGGAGAGGTTTTTCCAGTAGAAACAAAAAAGTATTGGTGCCACATGAAAGTGGTAGGAAGTGATGTAGAATCACAAATCCTGTGTCCTGGTCAAAAAAATATTCCCTTTGGACCAGGTAGAAAGAAATGGGCTGGGGTGATCTGTTTTTTTAACAAAATGTTCTCATGGAGGCAAACATGAAGAAAGGGGCTCATTTAGCTGAGCAAAGTGTGTGCTGAGGGAACCTGTGACTCTTCTCCAGAAATAGATCAGGAGTAAACACTTTGGAATGAAAAATACACTATTTAAAGGTCAGCATGGACATAGGAGTGTGTGAGTATTAGCAAGTCGTGAGTGAGTTTGGGTGGGAGGTGTAGACGTATCCAAGCCTTGCTGCAGCACAGGACCAGGTTTATTAAGCTCCAGTCCCATATGCTCCCTCAGCTGCTGCCCTTCGCAGGCTCACCCAGCACTCAGAGCTGCATTTGCAGCTGTGATCCAGAAAGGTCTCCAGGCAAATGCAGGGTCTGAGAGCCTTGGAAAATCTGTCTTTAATTGAAAATCAGTCCAGATTTCCAGTTAGCCTTGTCCTGGGAATACTTAAGTCTGTTTTGCTGTCTGGGACCATCCCTCTTATAGAAGGCTCTGTAGGAAAATTTGATTATCAATCTCAAAAGCAAATACTATTTGAGCATCCTTGGCTCGTTCTAGAGAGCTTTCTTAAAACCATGGGAAGGGGAACATGCAGTGATGTAAGGGAGGATTTGTTTCATTGTTTCAGAGCAGTCTCTCTACCCTGTGC